AAAAAAAAAAAAAAAAAAAAAAAAAAAACGGAGTCCTCTCCAGGTCTCTGAGCCTTGCTCAGCCCAAGGCCAGGCACAAAGCAGCATCCTAAGAGTTCATTGAATAAACAAGATTATAGACAAGTAAAGTCCAATTCAGGAGCTGGAATAGGGATTAGGAGGCCTCTGGGTGGTGGTGAGATGGGTCACGGTAATATAGTCATTCTGACATTCAGTTGAGGAGGGGTGGTACCTCCCCTACTGGATCTGCCTAAACTGATTGGACCCCATTGGGCTAGACTGGAGCTCAGGAACACTGTCCTGTGGCTCAGTTTACCTGTGCCAGAAAGAGTCCCACACTTTTTTTTTGCAATGGGGCAAACCCTGACAGTTTGCATTGGACGGCTGGGCTGTAAGCCTGCGGGGCAAGAAACTCAGAAGTCCATGGCCCTGTTTGCAAGAATCCTTTGGGTGGCTCCTGGGACTCCAATGTGTCACTGTGTTGTGGGGGCCTCGAGACTATATTCCAGGAAGGAGACAGATCAATGAGCAAGAGAACCACTGGAGGGGAGACAATAAAGGGAGAAAGCATGACTCGCGTCAGGGTCCATTCTGGATGGTTGCGAGGGCACCAGCGGCTGATAGGCCTGGGATGAAAGTGGGTGTGCAAAGGCCTAGGAGGGGGTCTGAGAAAGGAGGAGCGGAGTCGCAGGATGACATTCATCCACGTGTTGGAGGGGAGGAAACAGGCTGGGGCAGCTAAGCCCCAAGCAAGAATCAGGGAAGAACAGCCGAGTGGCACTCGCACCCAAAGCCTGCAGAGTCCCGCTCCCGCGAAGACCCCGCCCACCAGGCCCTCCCCGCCCCCACCAAGGTATGACCGGAAGTGCGCGGGGCCCGCAAGATGGCGACCGAAACCCGGAAGTGAGCGGCGTCCGCCGGGAGGATCGGAGAAACTGAGGCGCTCCAGGCTCCACGCCCGGCCGCAGCTGGGTTCGAGGTGAGGCGTCCGGCCGCGACTCCCGCCCCGGCCCCGTTGAGACCCCTGCTGGCCCCAGCGAACTGCGCCCCGGGAGGGCCCTTCATTCCCTGTCGCCGTTCGCATCCCGGATCGGGTTCCGGCGTCCCTGATGGGGGTTCCGGGGCCACGGGGAGGGGGCGAGCCTGGCGGCTGAGACCCCCGCCAGCCCCGCCTTCCGCGAGCTCTGGCTCCGCCCTACGCCGCGACCCCCGCCCTCCGCCGCGAACTTTGATCCCGCCCTCCGTCACGACCCCATCCTCCGAGTGAACCCTGACCTCTCCCCTCGCCGCGACCCCCATCCTTCCAGTGAACCTTGACCCCCCTAGCCTTTGCCGCGACCCCCATTTTTTGAGTGAATTCTGACCCTGCCCTGCGCCGCGACCCTCGCTGTCCGCGGCGAACCTTGACCCCCATGCCGTAACCCCCTCCTTTGAGTGAACCCTGACCCCACTCTCTGCCCCGACCCCTCAAGCTTTTTCTCCCCCACGCTTCATAGTGAATCCCTATCCCGTTGGGCTCTTTGTTGACCCCGATCTTTTTCTTTTTCTGGTGCTCTTTGATCCCGGACTCCTTGGTGACCCTGGAGCTCCCTGGTGACCCTGGAGCTCCCTGGTGACCCTGAACTAGCTTTTCCCTGATATCCTGACCTCTCTAGTGACCGAGTTGTGACCCCAACCCAAAATCTGGGTGACCTCTGATCTCTTGTTCAGTGATCCATGACAGGCTCCTTGGGGACTTGTATCCCCTGCTGGCCTGGACTGAAGCATAGCTCCTCTCCAGTCTCCAGCTCTGGAGGCTCCTGCCCTGCCACCCTCAAGGAGGGCTAGGCATGCCTGTTCCCTGCAATTCTGTGGGTGGGTTGATGTGGGCTCACTGATGTTAGCTAACCCCTAGGACCGCCTCAGTGGGTTTGCCCAGCGTTTGAGGTGGGAGTGTGCCTTGAGTGGCATTGAAACTGGAACTCCCAAGGACTAGTGGACAGAGACATGGAGGTGGGTGGACTAGGGAGAGGAGGCCTGCTTGGTGGGTCCTGCCCCAGTAGAGGTCTTTTGCCACTGTCCCTAAGGCCTGAGAATGAGGCTGGGCTAGGGCCAGAGAGCCAGCCAGAGCCTCCAGGAGTCCTGGGGCAGGGACTGTGGGTATCTCCCTGGGGGGAAAAAAAAAAAAAACACAAAACCTGAGTCTGTAAACCATAGTGGTGCATCCCCAGGCTCTGCTTCCCGGAATGCCTGCTCAGGAATGTCCTTCCTGCTTGGGGACATTTGGTGCCATCTGTTGCATCCTGTGAGTAGTGAGCGCCTGTGTTGGCACTTGCTGACATTTCAGGGGCAGTAAATATTTTCCGTTGTGGCTAGGGGGCCTGATGTTGTGCTGACCGAAGCTGAGAACCCAGTGAACCTGTTGTCAGGAGAGGGGTCAGGTCCTGGAGCCTGGTCCAGTGGGGCAGCTCACCATGACTTTGAAAGGGTTCTGGGAATGAGCAGTATTGGAGGACTCTGCTCTTCAGGGGTATGGAGGTTCTAAGTGTTGGGTAAGCTGTATCCAGTCCAGATCCTTCCTGAAGACTGGCAATGAGGCCGTGCCTGGCTTTCTTTCCCTGGCCCCGGTGCCCAGCTGCAGAGGGCTGTGCTGCTGAGGATGTCCTGCCAAGGTCTGGCTTGAGAAAGGCAGGGACCTGGACCCTCCCTTCTCAAGTGCCCTCTTGCTCATAGGCTTCCTGATCACTCTTGCCCTGGATTTTCCCAGGGGAGACCCTCAGAGGCGGGGCACTAGCTTCTCAGACTAACTGCCCTGGTGCCTTCAGAGTGTTTTGTGGGATCTGGGCTGGCAATGGATGGGACTGAGGAAGGGTGGGGGGTGACTGGGGGTGATCTGCAGGGAAGGTATGATTGCAAATGGGAAGGTGCTCTAATTTACTTGAGATTCCAGCAGATGGCTGCTCTGCTCATATACCTGCACAGAACAGGTGGGCCCAGCAGGGAAAAGGACTGTGGTAGACAGAGGTGTGGGGAGCCCTGGGGCCCAGGCAGACCCAGACAAGGGGCCAGTTTCTTCTGTCAGATTTGGAATCTGGTCAGAGCAGTGAGGGGACAGGAGAGCTGTCCCATGCCCTCCAGTCTCATGGGGAAACTAAGACCCAGAGAGCCTGCGCCTGGCTGGTATTGGCTGCAGCCCACAGTCCTGCCCCTGCACCCCTGTGTGTAACCAACTTAGGCATGGCCCTGAGTTCCAGCCATGTCCCAGACACCCCTACGGCAGGGTCAACAAGAAACACTGGCCCTGTGAGAGAATAAAGAGGCGACTGTGTCCGCCAGCAAGCAGTCCCAGGCCGCCTCTCCCAGAGGCCCGTCATAAGGGTGGGATGGACTTCTTCCCCATGTTTGGGGGTGTGGCAGAATCTGAAATTGTAAACATGCTGGGAAGCTGACACATTGGAGTGTGTGGAGAAGGTTCCCCACAGCCCAGGATTTGTGTGGCACACACTTGTGTATGTGTGCTGAGCATATGTATGCATTTCCAGTGTGTGCCTGTGCACATGTGTATCAGTGTATGCACACATTTATGCATGTGTGCATGCAAATGTGTACTCGAGTGTCTGTGTTGTGTGTGCATTCATGTACCTTGTGTACATGAGTGTGCAGGTATGCGTTTTGCCCTTGCATGTGTGCACATGTGTTGTGCCTGTAAGTGTGTTGCTGTTGTACACGTGTTTGTGATTCCTGGTGGGCAGGTTTGGAACAGCTCCAGCCGCTTTCCACAGCCAAAGGCTGTGTGGTCAGACGGCATGTGGGATGGCTGGGTGTGGCCACTACTGGGTGTAACCTGAGGGCGAGGTCACCCAGATCTTCCCATCCTGATTACCTCTGCTCCCCCCACACACACCTCTCTCCCCCACCGTCCCTCCAGCTGTGTGGGTGGACCTCAAAGCCCTGCCCCTTGGATCTGACTCCCCCTTCTACCCCAGAAGGCAGTTTGGGATGAAGAGCAGACTTCTTCAGGGTCACTGCTCATGGTGATTACTGCCTCTGTGGGTCACCTTGCTTCCCTCCCTGGGAAATGTGGTCACCTATTGTGGGGCTGTGGCTCAGGTGAGGGCAGAGCTGGCATTCTAGGTAAAACTGGGATTTCAGGTGCCCATCATCTGTGTGCTCTGGACTTGCCAAGTCCTTCTAGGGAGGCAGAGATTAGACTAGCGTTTCCCTTCTACACTGGGGATGTGATTTGAAAATGCAATGCCCAGTGAGACAATCCCCCCAGTGTGTGACCCCACTGCTAGGAAACATCCAGAACAGGTGAATCCAGACACAGGAAGTAGTAGGTGTCAGGGACTGGGGAAGGGGAAGGGACAGGGTGACTGCTCATGGGGCTTCCTTTTGGGGTGAATGTTTTGGAATTAGAGGGGATAGTTGAACAACTCACAATATACTGAAGCCCAGCGTGTTGTATAATCTATACCAGTGAATTTCTTGGTGTATGAATTACACTTCTTAAAGCAAGGCCTATTCAGCCCTTGGGATACCGTTGTGTTTTACCCTCAAGGTTGAGAATGGGCCACAAGCCTGAACCTGCCAGCCAGTTCATACCAGAGGTGCTGGATGGCTGGTTGGGAGCCTTGTCCTGGCTTCCAGGAGGAGGACTGGAGCAGTGGTGTCTCAAGCCCTCCTTCCCAGGAGCCTAGCATCTTGCTCTGGTGCTCATCCCAGCCCTATACTGAAAGTTGCTTCCAGGAATGAGGTAAGTTCCTACAGGGAGTACTGTGGGGGATTTGGACTTCTGTTGAGGGGGCATCCTAGAACTGTGTGTTCGTGGTAAGCAAGGATAGTCTTTGGAGGTGTTCCATGGCCCTACTGAGAGCTGGGTGCAGTGTTTTTCTGAAGCTTGGTCTCCTGTGGAAGGCATTAGCCTGGGGTTCAGGTATGCACTCTGGCCCTCCTGTGGACTCCTCTCTGTTTCTGGCTCTCTGATGGCAGGTATGGAGCCCTGGAGTTCCCATGAGGCCAGGGTCATACCTGGAGGAACAACAGGGCAGGGAAGGACCCTGGTGTGTCAGTGCAGAGGCCACCTGCCAGCCTCTGCCCCCCCACCCCAGCCCTGGTACTGCTACTCCAGCTCTGGGGATAGCTGGAAGGCCCCATCTGCTGTGCAGGCCCTGGGAGGGACCACAACAGAAAAGCATTGGCTTTTTCCCTCTGCTTGCTGGGCACTGCATGAAGCATGGAGCGAGCGGTGGGGCAGACTCAGTGTACCTGGATGGCTCGAGGACTGTCTGAGTCTCAGGCTGCCCTTTGTGCCAGGTGCTGCCCCTCTATGGATCTCCTGAACCCAGATCTTTGGGTTGAGGAATCACATCTTCCTGTGGAGAGCCTGACTGGGGCCCCTCCTATTGGCTACTGACCTGGGGATTTATGCCCCCCACATCCAGAGCAATGGTCTCAGAGTAGATGTGAGGTCCCTCCCTCAACTCTGGCCCTGTTCTATCCCTAAGTGAAACTGAAAGAGGCAGCATCAGCCTTCCATCCAAGACTGCTGCATTTCGAAAGTGACTTGTGCGAGTCATGGCATTTCCTGGGAGTCCCCCACCCCTGCCAGGTCAAAGGCCTTGGACCAGGATGAGCCCAAGGTATGCAGCAGGCAGCAAACTGCTATGGAGCTGACTCACTGCTGTCGGGGTGGGGCAGCTGGGCCAGGCCCGGCTGGGTGCTGCCGGGTGCTGCCGGGTCAGGGAGAAAGTCTGTGAGTCTGTGTGCCAACAGTGGCCCAGACACCGGAAGCGGTCAGCCAGCTGCCTGATTACTATCTAGTCAGCCCAGAGCCAGAGGTCTCTCCCTCTGCACAACAGGTAAACTGAGGAAAGGCTCACCTCTCTGGGCAGCACTTGCCCTGGCCACAAGACTGGCTCCAGGACCCTAGACCCTGGTCTGGATGAAGGAGGCAGGGCTCAGCACATGTTCCCTGAGGGTTCTGTGGGAATGGATATA